GTAAGATTATTTTCACAAGCATTGTTCTATACTCATTCATTCTAAATTTATTCTCCTTTCTACTACACATCATTTTGTTGAGGGGTCTAGGTGGTGAAAAATTATGTCAATACCATGCTCATCACAAAACAATTCAAATTTCTCATTTTCAATTCTCTACCATGGTCGGTTTCGAATATTAGAAATAAGAAAGCTTTTTCATTTTGAATTCTAACGACAGAGTTTTTGTGAAAGAAGAAAATGTTTCATCTTTGTGTACTAAAAACAACCCATGTTAAATCTTGAATAATCATCAAACAATAACAAGACAATAATGTTTACCACCTAGACCTAGATGTTCTTGAGGACAAATTAAATCCGTATGCAATAGTTTTAAAGGTCTCGTAGTGGAAATTTGAGATTTTGATTTAAATGATGTTTTAGTTTGTTTTCTTGTTGACAAGCACTACAAAGATGATATTTTTCCAAATTTAATTTTTGAAGTTCAATGACCAAATCCTTTCTCAAAAGTTTAGCAATTATATCCATATAAGCATGACTAGTGCTTCTATGCGCATAACCAACTATTTTCACATTATTAAATATAAACATTTAAACTCATAGCATAGAGATCCATTAAGATGAAAAACATAAACATTATCATGGCGATTACCAACGAAAAAGCTTTATGATCATTTGTGCTTTCAATTGTGCAACTGTGATTTATAAAAAATAACTCAATTACCTTTATACATAATTGACTAATACTAAGTAACGTTATGCTTAAGTCATCAACAAGTAAAACATTTTCAATAGAAGGGTTAGGAGAAATACGCGATGCTACCAATACCGATGATTTTTCCTTTCTTGTTGTCTCCAAAAGTACAAATCTTCATCTTTCGATGATAGTTAGTAACGAATGATTTATCTCACGTCATGTGTCTGGAACATTACTATAAGGAGTACCACTTTCCTTCTTTAGCTTGGACTTAAAGCAAACCTACAAGATGACAATCAAGTGTTGGTTTTTGTACCTGTTGTTTCTTGGGGCTTCTTGGTTAGTTTTGTTAGATCCTTAATAATCCAAATCTTTTTATTTCATGTTCATATTCTTTTTAAATGGACAATAAGATATATAATGGCTTTCTGTCTCAATAATGACAAGTAATATGAGGAGTGTGTCATGAGAGGTGCCTTTTCAAAAATTGTATTGAGATTCTTTTGTTTCTTAGGGTCATTCCAATACCGCTTTATCAAAAACCATTTTGTTCCAGAAAGCATGTTGAGATTATCTCTACTTTTACAAATTTATCAAGTGTTTTTGTTAAATCATCAACAGTTGTTTTTAAGAAGTAGTTTTCTCATTAGAGATAGTATCAAAATAATTTTTTTCTTTCTTTAATTCTTCTACATTAAGCCCTGTTTGTTTGCAGGATATGAAGATTGATTGGTATTATAAATGGGACCCACATATCCATGTTTGCAAATTTTGTTTGAAGGGATAAAATATACCTTCGATTGTATAATCCCTCAAATTTGGAGGATATACAATCCCAGCCCCACTGTTATATCATATTCCCCTCGTCTGGGGATATGAGTTAAAAAGTCCAATATACCTCGTCAATTTCTTATATACACAGACTTGGGCTCAAAATATATGCAAGCTCATATACATCCAGCAGAAGAGAAAAAGGCTCTGGTTTACATCGTGTGATCTGCTAAATTTTTGTGATGATTTCCGTTGCAGACTTCATTCCGGGATATTCATATTTTCCCTTACTTTGCTTACTTTTTTTTTTGATTTTCTGGTTTAGGTTTGTTTGTACGATTTTTAAAAAAATCGATTGAAATAAACCCACTGTTTTTGGAACAAAATCGTAAAGAAGAGGGCCAGAAACTTGTGAAAGTTTCAATCTAAATTGATTTTTGAAACTTTGATTCTAAACCCACTGATTTCTAAATTTATTTTTGGAACTTGATTTCTAAACCCATTGAGATAACAGAAAGTTTTTAAACTGATTTGTAAACCCACTGATTTGGAACTTTTGAAACTTTTTGGCTTTTTTGGAATAAACCCACTGTTTTTTGGACTTTTTGTTCAATCTAAAGAGGGCTTTGTTTGTTTTGTAATCAAATTCGAGGCTTTGTTTGTGTTTGTAAACCCACTGAGATAAAGAAGAGGGCTTTGTTTGTTTTGTAATCAAATTCGATTCAATTAGTAAAAACATGTCTCTGTTTCATTGTTTTATTGAACCAGATTTATATCTCTGTTTTATTTATTTATTTATTTATTTGGGGCTTTGATTACAAGCAATAAAAATTTATTTGTTTTGTATTAAAGTCTAGAGAATTTGATTGATCAAACTCTTGACATTAAAAAATAAAAATAAACAAATAATCTATGAAGAGTTTGATTTTTTACATAATTAGATTTTTATTATGGAAGATAGTTTAAAGATAATCTGATTTTATATCCAGATTTTATATATCAATAAATAAGTTAGTTTACATAATCAAGATTTTAGTTTACATAATTAGTTTATCTCCAGATTATAAAAATAAATAAAGTTAGTTTACATAATCAGATTTTATATCCAATGAGTTGGGAAAGTTAGTTTACTAATAATTTTACATATAAAATAATCTGATTTTATATATTGGGAAAGTTAGTTTACATAATAAGTTAGTTTACCACACTGATTTTTGATTGAATCAGGATATTATATTTACATAATCGTACTCTGTAACTGTGTAGGGTTGGCATCCGATCCGGGTTGGGCCGTGATGACTCTAGTGCTCAACAATTGTAAGGAAAAGACCTAGGTTAGGCTAGGTGATCTTCAATCGGATCCTCTTAGAGAAAAGGCCCAGGTTGTCACCCTGAGGATGACTCTTAGTTCGGTATTGGATCCAACGGGCTTATAGCCTTGAGAATTGTGTGGCGTGTGGCATGTTACTTGTTATTTCTTGGTACCTAAAAAATTATTGGTGTTCATGTTGTAATCTGTTTTAAGTGAAAAATGTCATTTATCATGTTCTTGAGAGACATGAGTATTTTAACTGTTGAACCTTCTTTTTGAAACAGATTATCTTTATCAAAAGTGTATGCCAATCTAGTTTCTGTGATATATATCTTATTTTAGAATTGATCCCAGTTTTCAAAATTGTATTTACTATCCATGTTGCTACTCACTGAGCTATCAGCTGACTTAGTTGTTTATCATTTCCAGGTGTTAAAAGGACTTAGAGTGGACTTGTGGCGTAGTGGGGACTCAATTGCATGGACCTCTAGGACATTCATTTTTTTTTTTAGATTGTTATGTCAAGGTTATGCATATTTTTTTTTATTTTTATTGAGGTTCATTTAGGATTATTTTGATATGTGTGTTGTTTATATCACATATGTTTGGATGATATTGATTACGGTTGGTTTTGCCGTTTATACTTGTGGTATGTCACTGGATTGAGTTTGGTTTTTTTTATTATTGGACTATTGTATAGTTATTCAATGTGTTTATGAATTTGTGTTTAGGCTTAAGTGTGCCTTGGGCTGAGTCCCTGTGGTCTATGGTCGGTCATGCCCGGATTTGGGGTGTGACAGAAAATAAGTTGGTGATGTTTTTAGATCATTCTACACTAGATACACAAAAAATGTAAAATCTAAGACGAAATTTAAAAAATATAATATTCAAAAGAAAAAAAAAATGAGTTTTTTCAGTTAGTTGCCAAACCCACCAAATGTTATTTGATTAAAATAGAAAAAATCATCATTTTTGTGTTTTGTAATCATCACCAATGATTGATCCACAGGGTGTGAAAGTATATTTAGATTTTCAAATTTTCAAGATCCATCCATGATCATAACAATACTAATTTATTTATTTTATACATGAAAAATAAAAGCCCATCCTTGATCATCACAATATTAATTTTTTATTTTCTACTACACGTAAAAAAAAAAAAAGTTGGTTGTCCAATGACTTAAACTAAAGCTATAGCCAGGGAACCTACAGGTTCACTAGTCTAGCCTGAGTTCAACTAAGCTGGCCACAACCTGAGTTCAAGCGTTGAAGCCATCTATCAACTTTACCATCATCCAACCAGTTTGGTGCCCTCGCTTAAGTCATAAGCTAACGCTACTTAGCTCGGCAATTATTAGATGTCTCAATCACCCCTTATATTTAAACATTATGCATTGTTTTTAAATGATGTGGGATAAGTTTACGATTATACTATTAACAATATTTAAACTTTACACTATCTCTTTTCTAATTTGATTATGAACGATGTGGGATGAATTTACGATTCTACTACTACCAATATTAAAACTTTACACTATCTCTTTTCTAATGGCATTATGTTTCCTTCTCTTCCGTAGTAGCCACCATCGTCCGTCACCATCACCGAACTGTCTCTTGTCTTCCCCACCTACAAGGACCAACCGCCACCCCCTTGCTCCCCTTACTTTCTTTGTCCTAGACAGCCACGTAGAAAAATTTAAAAAAATGCTATAATTTTAGCAAATCATTTTTGAATTCAAATTGTTTAACTTGATTGCTGACAAGTTTCAAATCTAACGAAAATAGAGGATGGATTTTTATTGAGAAGTTTATGTCAATTTTGATTAACGGGAAATGAGATATTTGGGTTGGCCATAAATCCAAACGAAACTCTTTCTTGATTGAAATCAACCACATTAAACCCGTGGGTTTCCTAGGGTGGATAGGTGATGGCAGGAGAGGGAAAAAACAGAGTAGGAGAGGGGAGAGAGTAAGAGAGCAGGTAGGGAAGAAGACAACAAACAATCTCAAGATTTTTCCTAGTTTGTTTTGGGATTCTGTGTTGGTGACTAGGGTGAAGGAGTAGGGTAAGGAGGT